GTATGACCTCCGAAACGTTGGTTAACATCGACCAGACTACACAGCGCAATAACCCAGAAGACAGAAATCTTCATACTCATCGCCCTGATGATGGAGGCAGTATGACCTCCGAAACGTTGGTTAACATCGACCAGACTACACAGCGCAATAACCCAGAAGACAGAAATCTTCATACTCATCGCCCTGATGATGGAGGCAGTATGACCTCCGAAACGTTGGTTAACATCGACCAGACTACACAGCGCAATAACCCAGAAGACAGAAATCTTCATACTCATCGCCCTGATGATGGAGGCAGTATGACCTCCGAAACGTTGGTTAACATCGACCAGACTACACAGCGCAATAACCCAGAAGACAGAAATCTTCATACTCATCGCCCTGATGATGGAGGCAGTATGACCTCCGAAACGTTGGTTAACATCGACCAGACTACACAGCGCAATAACCCAGAAGACAGAAATCTTCATACTCATCGCCCTGATGATGGAGGCAGTATGACCTCCGAAACGTTGGTTAACATCGACCAGACTACACAGCGCAATAACCCAGAAGACAGAAATCTTCATACTCATCGCCCTGATGATGGAGGCAGTATGACCTCCGAAACGTTGGTTAACATCGACCAGACTACACAGCGCAATAACCCAGAAGACAGAAATCTTCATACTCATCGCCCTGATGATGGAGGCAGTATGACCTCCGAAACGTTGGTTAACATCGACCAGACTACACAGCGCAATAACCCAGAAGACAGAAATCTTCATACTCAAGGCTGTGAAAACCTCAAATCTTACATGGATTGATTTTATTCAAAGAATTGAATTTTGAAGACGTAAAACACATTTATTACATTAAAAAAGAAACCGGGATTTAGAAATACATCTGAAAAGAACGGATAAATTATTAAGAAATGAAACCGAAGCAGATTAATAGACCCAATCCGTGGCGGTGAAGAACAGATTATAATAGTCTGTCGCACGAAAGTTATGGAGGTCCATTACTTGCAAAAACATTGGCACACCCACCCGAGTCAGAAGATCGGCCATGCGTTAGAGCTTTGTGTTGTGAGTGACATCTATGAAACTTTGTTAACAAAGGAGCCGATGATGACGAAATTCTTTGGGCAATGTCCATTGTAATCCTGTCACTACTTTGCATCTTAACGCCAACTGCGTACAAGAAGGAAAGCTTTTTCATCTCTACGTGTACCCTAGAAAGGGTCACATATTTGCCTTCCTCAGCCCATGGTTATTAAGGCTTTGACCGGGATGTTCTTTTGTTAAATCTTATGTGGTACCGCCTGATTCGACTTCTAATGGTTAAGTGAAGTGTTTTCTTCGCGGTACGGTCTGGATTCATAAATAATATTCAGACGATCTTCGTCTTCAAAGGGTTAATAACATTAATATATAAATACGTTTTGGGGAGAACTAAGAATTTCAATAACGGACATTATACGTGACGTCAGTACGCGTGAAGATTGCCATGTAAAATGCCGGTTATTGTTAACCGATTTCAACCAAAATTGGCATGGGTCTACAATTTTTCATGAAACTCGTCAGTATCATATTTAATAACAATTCGGCTTACCGCACCCGAGCCTAAAGCAGATCACATCAGTGCACTGCGTAGAGGTCGCGCGAGTAGTGGTGGCACCTAAACGCGCGATGTGTAAGCCGAGAGAGGGGAGTTCATTAGTAGTGGGGGGTTGCACAGCCTCAGCTGCGGTGACGCACCGAACTAAACACAGCGAGAGCTACAAACCAACTGAAGCTGACACCCCTCGAGCGCGTGCTTAGGACTGGTCCATCTCATACGACAAAAATCAGTCCTTTGCGCAAGCGCGAGAACTTCTTCTCGCGCGACCTCTACCTTGGATGAAATTAATGCAACATTAACCCCTGTGATGTAGCGTGAATAACACATTTGGAATGTTAGCGTGCTCAAAATACACCTGAAATACTATTGTTGTTGTCATTATAATTAGTTATCGATTCTAATTAGACTTTAAACTGTTGTTTGTTCATATTATGTAGTTTCGATACTGTACATTTCGACGGTTCAATGTTAATTATTACATTTTATTATATTACAAGGGTATGAAAGTTTACGGGAATAAACCCTTTTGTGTTCAACAGTAGGTAAATTCAATCCTCATTTTTGGTGAAAAGTTAGTGTTGTTGGCCGCCGCGATATCCGAACTTCATCCAGCTTGATTAATTTCATGAAGTCTAATGAAATACACGACCCAAAAGATTAGACTAGACTAAGAGAGACAAATTGCTTACATGAGAACACAACGAAATGTTTCGAAATGTCAAGTTCGTGTATTGAAAAGGGAGATGAAAATTTTGAATAGTTAAGACGCATCTCACAAAATACAGCGATAAATTACTTTTATTAATAATCTTGTTTTTTGATGCGCGTAATTTGAAACCGACACGGTTGAAAACAGATCTAATTTCGAAATTATATTTTATTCGAAATTATCTCTCGAATTACCACACCACTGTATGAAAAAGTGGTTGTAAAACACGTAGTCTTCTAACTTCATTAAACTGTTTATATATCACGTTTCATTGGTTCATCAGTTATATTAAAAATTGTCAATGTGACCACGTTGTTATTTTGCGTTCTAAATAGAACACTTTAATAAAAGATGCACCTTTCGATTCTCGAAGCATCTAATTAGAAGAGACGTGCAGTTTAATTATTGTCTTCCATTACCGTCCAATAAAGATTGATTCCGGAGTCCTGACAAATATTTTCTACAATAAAATTTAAAAGTACGTGTACTGACGTGTAAGATCATTGCAATGCTAACCGATGACTCTCTGAAGGCTTCGACGTCGAAAAAATTGTGACTTCTAACCTACTCATCACACAGACCATAATTTTAAAAAAGAATATCGTGAAATCAATTAAAAGCACCTGTCCAAAGCTATGTACTTCAATTACTCAAAAATGACATTGCAAATCCATCACGTGACTTCGGTATAAGACGAGGACAAGCCAATTCGAATGCAAGTCTTTCTATACAGAGTGTACATTGACATTATTTCAGTATTTCAGGATCTAATTCTTAAGGTCATTGACAGTCACAAATGTCACATGAACTTGTGTCAGATTCCAAAAAAGTTTACGGAGTTACAAATATTTTAAGTTCAAGAAACATACGTCTTGTAGGATCGATATTCGATGATGCAATTCCTATACTCAACGCCCTCTGAATATTTGGTAAACTTCTTCCAGACTACACGGCGCTGAAATCCAGAAGACAGCCATCTTCCTATATTGTTTACTTTGCGCCTACAAACTATACATTTCGTGGCAATCTAGGGGAGTGAGGCCCGGCGACCGAAGGGGCCATTTCTACGAACCATCAACCGAGAAGATTTTCATTCAGATATACAATCACGTGTCGACTGACACAGGTGTCGTAACCTTAAATAATCATTTTCAACGACTGCAGTAAGTTACTTCCGATGCCACTTATTAAAATGAGCATTTCTGTAAAGTCAACTCAACGCGCAGAAAATGTCTCACTTCGACTAAAAACAACAAAAATACACGAAAAAGTAATGTGTATTTCGAAGTGATGCTGTAAAGCTGTGAAATATCCCTAAAAACATTTTTTATAATGCTTAAGGCCGGAGACTGTTAATCGTATCTACTAATTACGGCGAAAAACTAATTCTTCACGTGTTACATAACTTAATCTTTTGAAATATTTACTTTTAAACTTAGATTATTCAAAACAACTTACATGTATCATTGACATTTTAAAATTCTCCCTAACCACGAACAAACACACAAAATACAAATGGTATTCGGACTGTCAACAAAACATAACAATTGTAACGAATCTTAAAAAGCAGTCAGGATAACCAAGATTCATGCCATCTGGCCTGCGGACCCACAGTAGAAATTCCCTCCCGAATCATATACTTTGTTTATATATCACGTGGAACATTTTCTTTAACCAACCAGAAAGCATTCTTATGCAAATGACATATCATAAATACATCCACCCAGGGATCCTCAGTCATGGGGCGTGTTGTTGCTTTGATTAGGCGAAACACTTTACAGAGCCAAGGTTAAATGTATACAAGTCACAGGAGTAGTTCACATTAGGTTAGGTTAGGTTATGTTAGGTTAGGTTAGGTTAAGTTAAGTTAGGTTAAGTTAAGTTAAGTTAAGTTAAGTTAAGTTAAGTTAAGTTAAGTTAAGTTAAGTTAAGTTAAGTTAAGTTAAGTTAAGTTAAGTTAAGTTAAGTTAAGTTAAGTTAAGTTAAGTTAAGTTAAGTTAAGTTAAGTTAAGTTAAGTTAAGTTAAGTTAAGTTAAGTTAAGTTAAGTTAAGTTAAGTTAAGTTAAGTTAAGTTAAGTTAAGTTAAGTTAAGTTAAGTTAAGTTAAGTTAAGTTAAGTTAAGTTAAGTTAAGTTAAGTTAAGTTAAGTTAAGTTAAGTTAAGTTAAGTTAAGTTAAGTTAAGTTAAGTTAAGTTAAGTTAAGTTAAGTTAAGTTAAGTTAAGTTAAGTTAAGTTAGGTTAAGTTAAGTTAGGTTAGGATAGGTTAGGTTAAGTTAAGTTAGGTTAAGATAGGTTAGGTTAGGATAGGTTAGGTTAGGTTAGGTTAAGGTAGGTTAGGATAGGTTAAGTTAGGTTACGTTAGGTTAGGTTAGGTTAGGTTAGGTGGAGCGTAGATGCTATGTGACTGCCCAAAAACTATTCTGTGCATTCCAAAAGAGACATCGTATGACTGAGACTCAGGAACTTTGCCTGGATTTCGTGTGACTATTGAATTTATTACGTAAATTCTAGTATATTTCTGAATATACATGCATTCATGTCACCAAAAACAAGATAATGAATCCAGAGACAAATGACACGCGGAGGCGTCATGGCTGAGGACCTCTGGATCCTTATACTAAAATATTAACCAAACACTAATATAGTGCAAGTGTCAGAATGTGCTCTGAGATATATTTGTTCAATCTTACGTAGACTTCCTCCCATTGGCTGACATAGCGGACAAGGCGGGAGAGACGTAGTAATCGGACGAGGCTGAGAAGTTTGGCCAGGCGCAGGATCCTCAGAGCTCGGCCCGCGTGCAGGATTTGGAAACTCTCGCTGAAATCCTGCAACTCAAGTGCGCAGTGATGCAGAGGTTAAGCCACATAACACGGCTGATACTGTCCATTTTGGGAGTATAGAAGCATGGGGCCATGTTTAGATTTAATTTAAAATATGTGTTTTTTTATATCTGGCCTGTGGTCCAGCTGTAACAGTGACGTCCGTATGGAGGATGAGGTCTGCAAATTGTATTTAAGAAGAATCTGAGAACGTATATCTAGGCGATGGTTGTCCTAAAACACGTAAAACAACTGGTTAGTTGCAACAGTTAGGGTTATAACACGACAAATATTTAAAAACCATAATTTCGGAAATAAAAACATGAATATAAATAATATAAATTATACTGTTTAATGGAGAAATGAGGGTGATATGGAATACAAGGATTAAAACAATCGGGGATTGTAGACACAATGATCAGACGACATTACTCTTCTGAAATGTTTTTCGGATTTGTTCACGAACGTTCCACAGTACATCCCATGGAGATGTGCCGAAACGTCAGAAAACAATCCGAAATATGACACAAGAACTATATATAAAAATACAGGAAAAAAACAAACAAACAATATAACTGAAATGGTAAAGTTGCGTCATATTGTGATATAATAAATATATATTGTTTAAATCTTGTCCGTCTAATCACAATAAATTCTTATTAAATATTAAAATATTACAATAATTAACATTTAATATTAAAATATTACATTAATTAACATTTAAATATTTTAATATTAAATGTTAATTATTGTAATATTTTAATATTTAATAAGAATTTATTGTGATTAGACGGACAAGATTTAAACAAACAATATAACTGAAACAAAGTAAATAAACAGATCATGTTACTATTATACTGACTGAGATTAGAAAAAGAGGCAAGACCACTATCTCGAGCTGTAAGCATGCTTAATGGAGAGATTAATTATCAAGCTTTAAAGTAAGTAGAAAAGTGGCATACGTGTAAGAATAAAATATATATGGAGTTATAAAATGTTAGTGTTTATAAAAGTAAAGAATATTCAGTGACATAACCATTTCATGTGTATTCTTTAAAGAAGCTTGCGTACCGATGTATTTTAATATATCGTGCAGAATAAATTCCCAGCAGAATAAAATAACATGGCCATGCTCCAACCAAAATTGAACAATACCACCCTTGAGGAAGATTATGTCGGCCTTGTTCTTATCACGTTACACGAGACTTTTTTTTCAATATACGAAAAGTAAATATTACATTATTTACCTGACAGAAAATTATTACTCACCATACGAGTACATATTTAATGACAATGCAAAAGAATCTGAGGATGTTACACAAACATTTTTCGATGTATTTAATCGGCAGTGCCACATTTATAATTATCTAATTACTAGGGGTCCGTGTAACTTGATATAAACAAGCAGTCGACATTACCCAGAAACATGCTGACCTTAAGATAGAGTCAGTGTGTGTTCTGATTACTCATAAATTTTCATTTGTACGTAACTAAAGTCTCTCTGTAACCATGAAATGATATAGCATTTCAATTACTCATTGCGGTAAAGATTCCGGCCACTGCGGTCTTCTAAGACGTGGCTGACGTTTCGGAGGAACATATCGTATCTATTTTAAATCGATATATTCCTCCGAAACGTTGACACACACCTCGACGACCACGTGACATTACAAAAGACAAAACCTAACCTAACATTCAGTCGCTACAAAAATGAGAGGCCATTTTGGATGAGCATTGAACAAAAGAAGTTCGATACTCCGTTGGCACGTCTGGCAGAAAATGTACTTCTGCAATGCACTGACATTTTTTTTAAAACAGGCGTGTCGAATTTTATGTTACGTAAAATATACAAATACGACTAAGGTTTTCAATACAACATAAAACTTGTTTGTTCGTGGCAGTTAAAACTACGTTCTTGGAATACCAGTTATAAAATGCGTAAACGATAAACGTTCTATTTGTTATCTCTCATGTCATGGGCCTATTTAACAGGCAAACTGATTTATAAAGTCGTTCTAACATGTCCTTGGGATTATTTCAATTCGGTGCTTGAGATCATGAAAAATTTCCACAACTCTTTCAACTCCTAGTGAAGAACCAAGAAGCAGATTAGACTCCACAAACGTTGTTTGGTTCTGATAACATTTATTAACATAAATTCACATAATTATAAAACTAACTGAATCTTAATTCCCACAATGGACCTCTGTTACTCGTTTATAACATTACACGAAGACGAATAATACAATTCTCTTTTTCATAAAATATTAGGATGATGAAGTTAGGGATATATATATTGGCGAGGAATGTAGCAGGATGGGTTAAACTGAGAAATGCACATATCATGAAAAGAGATGACTTAGGAGATTGGTTGATGATAATAATAAAAAATGGACCTCTGAGAAACGGAATATGGGGATGTTGACTGGATCTACGCGGATAAAGATCCTATCCTACTCCATCCTACCAGTAGCGGTAATGAAACTTTGGCTTCCGTAAAAACTGAGGAATTTATTGACCAGCTGACTATAAACTTCTCATGCTATAGATAATTCCAAAACCTTAAGCAATTTCTTAAAAGAATCCCGCTGGATATTTATACAAAGGAATTTCCGAAACAAAAATAAATAAATGGATTTTAATTGACACTGTAGGTATATAAATTATCCAGTTACAAGGTTAATACATCAGGTTTTATGTCATATACAGCATTGATTATGAAATTGTATTCTTGTTTCGTGTAGCTATCGATTTAAAAAAAAAAAAAAAATTTTTAATTGACATCATGTAATCACCTGACTTTACTATCACATCCCAATTACGGAAATTTCCAAATCACTCCCGGTCTTACGTTAAATAAAACATGACTCAAGACTATAAATTGTAATATAGGCTTTTCTTCTGTGAAGGCAGATATGACGTTGTTCGCACGGTGTGTCCAAAGAGGATTTCCAAAACGTCTATATATACATAAAATTAAATTTGAATTGAGATTTCGAGCGAGGAAGAATTCAATATTTAAAACAGGAATAAGGTATAAAATAATGTTTAATTCCTAAATCACTAAGCGCAGATATGAGATGGTTGTATTTTGAAGACAGTGGCACGGCACTGGTTATCGAATAGAGAAAACAATGCTTGGTACAACGCCCTTCATTAAAGTCTCCTCACGTCCTCCACCCAAGAAATGTGAACTGTGGTCACACAAAGTTACATGAACTATTTGAACATGCGTAAGAATCACAAGTCAAAATGTCTATAACGAGTTCACTAAAGCCAACGCGGTTCATTGCAGCCACGATGAATTTTTAAAAAAAAGATGACTTAAAAGAGACAATGTTATGCTCGTGTGTGTATGTGAGTTTCCCCTTTAAAAAATTCGCGGACCGACAGTAGCCCCACTTAATATAATGTCATGAAATTACGACTGCTGATAGATATTAAAAAATAATAAAATTTTGTAAAATGTGGAACAACATGGCGTAGGTACGAACATTTTGTACACAGGCCTACAGACAAGTTTCATTTTGACTCACGAACCACTAAAATATGAAATTTATTACTCAAATAATTCACATATTTACAAATCGTGTGGTTTTTCTATGCGTGAACAATTAATTACATTCTTGGCGACTGAAAACCTTTGAGTTTATATGAATTTGAGGTTTTAAATGCGGTGAGATTTCTGAACGCGGTTTTCTTGGTTGTGATACCGTGTAATGTCGTACGTAGTACCATATCGTCAGGGTTCAACGGAAACAGTTTTGTTTCTAGGGTTCATTAAGAAGGCTCGGATAGGTTTCTATCTCCTCTCTGGCACCCCTGGTATCCCGTACGACAATTTTCTTAAAGTCCCTGACATTTTCGGACTTCCTACATTACCGTATTCATGTCGACGCTGAAAATGAAGGAAAGATGTCCCTTCGAAATGTCGGCAACTAACTACCTATAAGACTTCACGGTATCACAACCTAGAACACGACAGTTTTGAGGTTGTGCAAATAATTTTACGTCGTCATAATCCGCGCGAAGTAAAAAAGATCTCTCTCGAAACAAAACAGACTAACAATAATAATTGAATTGAATTGTTTATTTTAAAGTGCTAACTCAACAGTTACGACAGCCAATTACATAGTCAGCACAAGATAAAATAAACACAAAGAACATAAAACAATACAAACAAGCGAAGGCAATATAATCAATTCGAAAGCATTTTCGTATCGAGAGAATCTTGTCGAATGAGAAAATAGTTTTGCTGAAAATGTCAAAAGAAATGTACATGTTATTTACAGCATTGACGCACTCAGCTGAAAGACTACGCATATTTTCAAATTCGCTGCTTGCGAAAATCTTAATTTTGTTTTGTATTTTTTTCGAAAAACATCCCTCACTAACAATTGGACAAAAGGTTCTCTGGGCCTCAGAAACGGCCTGGATGCTATTAGAAGATGAAATTCCCCACCCTTTCGTAACTAAAGTTGTTCACACTGTTAATTCCACGAAGCCAACGCAATAAATAAACTTGTTTAAAACTGAAAATTGCTGTCTTCTGGGTTTTTGCTGTGTAGTCTGGTAGAAATTTACTAGTGTTTCAGAGGTCCTTGCTGCCTCCATCATCAGGACGAAAACCCAGAAGACGGTAATTTTCACACTCACAGCCGTGAAAACCTCAAATCCTAAGGGTGCATCATTTAATCATATCTCCCATTTACAATTCTGTCTGGGGTTCTATTACGTAGCTTCCTATAGGCCTATATTATGTGTGCCCCGGATAAAAGAACAGTTGCCAATAAGCAGTCATTGAAAGACAATGAAGGGTTGTGCTTAGGATTTAGATTACGCGGATGGCTGTAACTCGTCGCAGAAAAAATATTTTATTAATTACTATTATATTGTCCATGACATTTATAATAACGTATAAATCAAAACATCGATTTCCATTAAATTCTGTACGAAGCTGTGCAGATGATGGAAAAATATTTCCCAGTTTAATCGCAACAAATACGATATAACAGCTTTTCAATTACTGAGGTATAAAGCAAGGTTCTGTACCATTCTACTTATAATAGTTTAATACATTATATAATTATAAACTATTCTTAGAAATTGTTCACAATTTGTAGAGATATTTACCAAGATATTTGGCGCAGACGAGCTATTATTTTTGCAAACTGTAGGTATAACAAAGCAATATAATTACGAAAATGAGAAACTTTCTTGTGATCTACGCGGTATTTTAGAGCGAAATACTATTTCATTGTTCTACTTAACTCGGCGAGTGTTATTCGAGAATTTCCTCTGTGGAACTACGAAACTGTGGACAGGACAGTTCAAGATAAGAGTAACAAAGAAACGCACATGCTTATATAAAAAGTTAATTACAAATCTACGTTAAATATTAACTGTATAAATCTTCGAAATAACTGCCACTAACAAGTCAATAAACCAAAAGAATCATATAAAATACTAATAATGTACAAAAGACTGAATAAATTAATTATTCTGCCAGTCGTGCAATAGAAATATATTATAAATATTATAAAAGCAGCATAAAAATTTATGTACAAAAGTGCACGCAGATCATGTGTACAGGTGTCCTGTCAGCTTCAGTTGGTTTGTAGCTCTCGCTGTGTTTAGTTCGGTGCGTCACCGCAGCTGAGGCTGTGCAACCCCCCACTACTAATGAACTCCCCTCTCTCGGCTTACACATCGCGCGTTTAGGTGCCACCACTACTCGCGCGACCTCTACGCAGTGCACTGATGTGATCTGCTTTAGGCTCGGGTGCGGTAAGCCGAATTGTTATTAAATATGATACTGACGAGTTTCATGAAAAATTGTCGACCCATGCCAATTCTGGTTGAAATCGGTTAACAATAACCGGAATTTTACATGACAATCTTCACGCGTACTGACGTCACGTATAATGTCCGTTATTATTAACCGATGTCAACCAAAAGTGACATAACTATTTATCAATTTTTTCGTAAAAATCTACCATATAAAATTCCATAAAAATTCTCCAAGCCGTTGTCGACTTATGTACAAAGAAATTTTAAAAGTTGCTCAGCAGGGGTCCAAAATAATATAGCCCCATATCGTGTTTTACGTAAATTAACCAAAAATAGCTCAAATGTCCGGCCTAGCGGTTCAAAGAAGATCAGAAAATTAACTGAACATATTCGACCAGATACACTTGTTTTCAAAAATATACGGATTTCAAATGGTTAACACAAGGGTGACAAAGCCTAAAGTGTCTATACTCCCTACTAAGTACGCTTATATTAATGAAATCACTAACAATCTTGTCCCATTCGTATTAAGCCTTGAACCACTCTGAAACTCACATATTAACCCGTTGAAGCCTTAAGCCCGTCTAAATATTACGTATTTAAGAATTCAGTCCGTACCGCAAAGAAAACACAACTCTTTACCATTACAAAGATCAGTTGGTTAACGCTGTTTAAGTATATCATACGAAACCCCAAAACACAAAATGAATAGTTAATGCTTGTTAAAGTAGATGGGGCTTTAAAGGGTTAACATAATAAATATATTTAAATACAGGGAGGCCATTATGAATTTTGTAAGGTAAATATTAAGTTTCCAGATGCTACACTAATGATATGAATGTCTATATCAGTATTTAACACTTTAATTAGAAAAAAACTAAGGTTTTGCGAACACCTGTGTAATATATGGTATAATGTAAATGTGCGATATATAAGCGTTTTCATGCTTTAATATAAAAATTCTTTTGGATGCAAGTTGCACTGTCCCCTCTCCACTCCAAAAGCCAAGATCCCTTACCTGGTTGAAAATAAGGAAGATGTAGTCTAGAGGTATTGAACTGATGAGATCCAGGAAGAACCACGTTTTCAGATAATGTTTAGCAATTAGTTTCGGGTCTAGGATCACCTGCTCGGCATTATCCTGTTGCATGATGCCTGAAAACACACACAACACACGGCACATCAACAAAATACCTAAGATAGTATAATTGCGTCATATTGCGAATCAAATATTAAAATTAATTATTCGGTTTTGTCCGTCTAATCACAATTATATTTAAAATTTACAATTTACAAATAAGATAATTAAAATATCATTTTATGTTCCACATCGAATAATCGATTTACATTTGGAACATTTTTACAACATGTTTCGGTTTCATCGAACCATCTTCAGGTGTAAAATTATATCAACAAGCTTAAAACTCAATTACAATTTCTGTTGTGTAGCTTTTTGGAGATGTTCATATCCAGATATTTTCATATATTGGAGCATTCACTTCAAAAAAAAAATACCATCAACTACGGTCCGTTCACCGACGAAGTTAAACGCAATCGTCACTTCCCGGCACACGGCTGGACCCGCGTCAACTCACCGTCAAGGTCTCCGTGGTTTTCCCGATACGAATAAAGTATCGTTCCTTAAAAGAAAAAAGTAACACCCATGTTGTGACAATTCCTGCCGACGACCGGAAAGTGACGATTGCGTCCAACTTCGTAAGTGGACATAAATAATCCTCTTAACTGTTTAACTCTAATTTTCCCTGCTGTTATGTTTTCGTGGTATTACGAGGTGCGATCGGAAAGTTTCAAGACTGCGCCTATAAAAACCCGTACACTTATATCAGGTATTAAATTCATCCATCACCCTCGAAGTAGTTCCCCTGGGAGTGAACACAACGATCCCAGCGCCGCTGCCAAGCCTGGAAGCATCCCTGCAAATCTTTCTTTGTCAGCCTGTCAAGCACCATCTGCGATTCTGCCTGAATCTCTTGCCAAAGACTCGCCAAAACGGCTACGGAAACCTATGAAATGCTAAAGCAAGCATTTGGGGAGTCCGCAATGGGTCGTGCACAAACTTTTGTGTGGCATTCACGTTTTAAAAATGGCCGAACCCCTGTCGATGATGACGAGCATTCTGGACGACCATCTTCGAGCACAACGCCCGAAAATGTTACGAAGATCGACGTCGTACCATCAACGACTTGTGCGACATTGTTGGGATAGGCTATGGGACCTGTCAGCTGATTCTAAAGGAAGAACTCCACATGCGACGCATCATGACAACGCACCAGCGCACACCGCCTTCAAAGTTCGGCAGTTTTTGGCCTCAAACACCCTGGCCGTCATCCCGCACCCTCCTTATTCGCCGGCTTTAGCTCCGTGTGACTTCTTCCTCTTCCCAAAGATGAAATTTCAGCTAAAGGGAATTAGATTTGAGACGATAGAAGAGATTCAGGCAGAATCGCAGATGGTGCTTGACAGGCTGACAAAGAAAGATTTCCAGGGATGCTTCCAGGCTTGGCAGCGGCGCTGGGATCGTTGTGTTCACTCCCAGGGGAACTACTTCGAGGGTGATGGATGAATTTAATACCTGAGATAAGTGTACGGGTTTTTATAGGCGCAGTCTTGAAACTTTCCGATCGCACCTCGTATATTATCTAATGTCAGAGAACAAAGGTTTATTTATGCCACGAAAAGTTTATGATTTCCCGCATATCTGCGAGCTTGAGTTTCGTTACAGTAAGCGGGGAAATGAAGATGGGGGTGGGAGGAAGACGCCTGACACGATGTCTCTTCCCCTCCCATCCCGAACCCCGTCTGGCTTGCCGCCAATGAATTTGTTGCGGTCAACAAAATGAATGAATTTTAACAAAACAGGGTTCGATACAGGACTACTAGATCTGTTAACGCAAAGCAGAAATGGTTGCTTACAACACACATTTTGAAATTATTCCAAAGCATAAGCGAGTGTTTATGCCCGGAAATCCTCTTTCAGTTGTTTATAGGTTATGAAAACAAACAAAATGCTTCGTGACGTCACTGCCTGAATCTGAGACGAGACAGCTGTCGCCTTGCAAACTCAGTGCCTTTGCAAAGCGACAAACATCAGAGGATGAACAAGTT